ACACCATTAACTCTTATTCAGAAAAACATCACTTCAAGTGATTGTACTTGTTTTTTTCCTTCTTTTTTTGTTGCAAAATTGAGAGTTTAAAAAAAAAAAAAAATAATTCAACACAAAAGACATCACAGCATACTCTTCCCAAATACCTACTTTCCATCAGTCATCCACGTAAATGCTGCCCAGCCATGCCTCCAGATCTCAGTCTCAGCTACTGTAAAAAAAGAAAATGAATCCAGTCCTTTGTGTATTCAGCCAAAGGAAAAGGCAGACAGGGAAACACGCAACAAGCAGACAGACAAAGTTTGTCTTTCCTAATCAGCTCTTTGGTCACCGGTCAAACACAGTATAGAACCAAGCGTGTCTGTAAATAGATTCACCTTGATGCCTTTGAAACAGGTGGACTAATATCCTGACAATCTGTGGCTGCACACCAATATATTTTATCTTTTGGCAGCATTAACATCTGTCAGCTTTGTTCTTTCACATACACTTTGACTTTCATTGACTAAATGTATTTCCTAACCCTTTGTGTAAGCAACACCTAATTATAAGCCTAACCATAAACTGAAGTCCTAAAATAACTTCTTGTAGAGGTGAGGACGGGCAACGTGTCCTCAGTGGGGAGGTGTTTCCTCATTTGTTCCTACTATAAGCATAGAAACACAGCGCATATACACACATACAGCCTCATTATCACCCTGCCCAATGAGAAAGTTATTGCTCACCCACTGTGCTTCGTTAGCCTTCACGAGCCAGAATGTCAATATCATAAACTACAGTGAGCTTTTATGGCAGCGATTATGGCAGCAGGAGGGGAAATTAATTTGTCTGACTAGATGCAGTTTTCACAGGCCAGGCGCCTGATTTACAAAGATATTACTAGTACGTTTGGTTTTAATTACCAAAGCAGATGCAAAGAAGTTGAGTGAAAGCTGGTTTTGTCGTGTTGCACTAAATCTTCAAGATTTTGATTTCTCAAACGCCTTCCTCTCCTATTTATCAGACGTAGGACCACAAGTCACCACAAGTAGGTTTTGGTGAGTAAAGGTACTTTTAACTAAGTCATGGAGCAGATGAATACATTGCTAATACACTGTGAAATACAATTAGTTAGGTCAACTCAAACTGTTTGAGGAAACAAATTGCCCTGAACAGTTTAACCATTAAGTTAATTATATAAATTCCATTCAGTTAATTGAAGTTACACTGATTTAAAATGTGTGACCAGAATTGATTTGAATAAAGTAACTTAACTGCATCTTCTTTATACAAATCTTACCACTTTTACTCCACTGAAGCAAATTATTACCTACCTATTTCCTGTCAAAATGTAATTATGTGACAAACATCAAATCTTTATACTTTGGGTGATGGTGAAGAATTACTTGGATAACAAATAAACTGAAATTAAAACAAAAAAAAATAAAAATCCTAAGCTATAGAACATTTCAATACTATTTTTGTATTGATATAAAGTCCACTTAAAGAAAATGAGCCAGTGGAACAAACTGGAATTATATCGCCAGTACTTAAAATACTGCACACATTTAAGTTCACTCAAAACAACTGAGTTGCTTCAACAATTCATTTTTGATTTGGGTTTAATTCATGTCAATGAGTTACTCCAATCTTTTTGGAGGATTCATTTATGTTAACTTACTTCTCTTCTTAAGATGTTTTGTCTTAAGAAGTTTTTACAGTGTTGGTGGGAATATAGTATAGTTCAATAGGGGATAATCACATCTGCTTCTCTGAAGGGAGGGTTATTTCAGGCTGAGGAGCGGAGTCACAAGGCACATTAAACAGCCCAATATTAATAAACTTTACAGCACTCAGATGTACTTCTAATTAATAACCCTCTGAACTCCAAGCAGTTTCTGGGCGTTTTCTGCTCCTGTCACATTCTTACTCACTGTGGGTTTGTTTTTCCCTGCAGTATAAGTCCTGCATCTCTATGGAAACATCACAATCATGGCTAGAAGTAGGGAGAACTCAATAATGTCTTTTGTGCAGTATAACACAATTAAAATGCCATAAATCATAAAAAGAGAAAACATGTGAGTCGAATTTATTTGCTAATTTCTTTGGCAAAAACATTTTGTCCACAAATATTACCAATATTGAAAAAAAGACTAACTGTATATCGCCGCAAGAAATCTTCCCCGCTATCTCTGCAGTACAGTCTAATTGGCACATATGGCACATAATTTAATGATCTTTACAGGATCTGGTTAGTGCAAACAGTCCGTTGTTGGTGACATTTTAAATGATACATGTAGAATAAAGAGATTTAATGAAATATCACTATTTTAAGCTTAGATTCGGTTGCTTTTCCTGACGAAAGTGCCCGTCCTACATGATACGCTCAAGGCCCATCGAAAATTTGAATGAAAAACTAACAATCATTTATGTTCTTACAGTTTCTGGCTATGATAAATGGTGTTGTTGATATTTTAAAGAAATATGCATTTCAAACCTGCTGGCGGGTTATAGATATATAGATATAGATAGTTGCTGTATTTTATTAGTGACGTTTTTATTTAAAATATTCAAATTCCTTTCCAAGCTTTAGTGCTAATGCTATCTTTGTGCTAGTGTCTGGGCTCTTTTGTGTGGAAGTTCACCACCACTTATGGCTTAATAATTAAATCAGTAATAATTAATTTAAAACCTCTTTTTTTCAGTCCATGAATCTCATGTGACAGATAGAATAAAGCATTTTTTTTTAAAGGGGGGCTCTGTCGATTTAACACATCAAAGTCTATTTACAGGTCTTGGGGAGTACTATTGCAGTTGTCTTTTGTGGCTCCAGGGGGAGCTGTGTGAAGTCTGACAAATGTCCTCGAGTGAGGTCACTTGAGTCAGCATGGGTTGAGTCTGAAAACTACAAGTTTGAAAATGGAAAAAATCAGGGGGTATGGAGTGAAAAAGAAGTGCACTTTCCAGACCACTTTAGCCCAACTGCAGCTAAATTAGTTACTACTTGCATAGCATAGCACACCTGGATCGCTGACAGAATTGTCGGTGGAGGAGCTGCATTATGGGTAATATAGGCACCAGGTTTTGTCAAGGAAGAAGAATGTGTGGAATAAAAAATGTTCTTCTGCATCAATTTTGATCCTTTTTGTTTTAAACTGTCCATTGTGAGTCCGACAGTGTTATATGACTGCAATGCTAAATCTTGTCATCCTCTCTATTTTAGTGCCCTAGGCAAACTCTATAATTTTTTTCAACCAGAGTGAAGAAAGTGTGAAGGTGCAAGTGTGTGTGTTTGTGCAAATCTGTGTGTATATGTCTTTTTTCATTTTTCTGAGCCATTGATTGTAAGGTGACATTGCTGCTGAACAGATGCCCCTCCCTCCAACAGCTGTATCATTCAGCTGTAACGTTGCTGATGGGAACGAGTCACCTCTTTCCATTCACAGCTGTCTGTTTGTCCATTATCTCTCACCTCTTTTCTCCTTTTCTGTCTGGAAGGCATTCGAAGGGAAGGGAAGGTTTAGCAAACATGCATGTGTGTGTTGGATTGCAACATATACATAAAATACACATCAACACCTGTTTATGTGTGGAAATAGCATAATTATACTGAGTGGCACAGAAGAAAAGTATGCAATGTTTGTTTGTACTGGTGTTTATGATGAACATAATTATAAATATATATATATAATAAATATATTTTTTTTAAACGTAAAAAGAAGAACTGACTTATTGGCAGCAATAAGCAGCAGCTTACTGTGTGCGTCCAAAAAAATAATATATAAGAGTAAATATCACCATTGAGGGCATAACCGAGCCAAAGTATGACATACTGTAGTAAGAACAGAAGCTTTGGGTAGAGCCAAGTTGGGTAAACTTTTTGGCTAAAGACAAAAGCCAGCTGCAGTGGTTTGATGCAATCTTTGACTAACATTTCCAAAACTAATACAGATAAAAGTGTGTCTTTGATCATTTTGGAAAGTACACATCAAGGATTTGCAAAGATGGTAAGACAAGAGTCATGAAGACTGCAAGAGAAAAGTGAAAATAGTATTCAGTGTTTGATATTTTACTGGGTGAAAAGTTGATTCTGGTAGTTACTGTGGACCAGCTCTATGTGATACCTTTCATTCAATATAATGTATAACAGTTTGACCTTTCAGTAATTATCCAACAATGTGAGGTTATGACAGTTATGCAGTAAAAGCTGTTCAATATGAAGCAGGGCGTTACCGCTCAATCATCCTGCTGGTCCGGGGAATCAAACTGGCAACCACCCCATCATAAAACTACCTCTCTGCCAAGTAAACTACTTTTCACTAGTCTACAGGGTCATGTTTTCACCTCAATAAGCATTTAAGAAAGACAGAGACCACTTAGGGCGACACAACAAAGTGGGTGTTTATGACGTGTGTGTGAGACAATTTTCATGTAAATGTTTCCATGCAATACTCTGAACAGAATCATGAGGGTTTAATGGCCACATGGTATGTTGTTCATGTAGCAGCACGTAATTTCCCATAACTGTTTGTTCCTACCAAAACTGCTGCTGCTATTTACTTTGTGGTAACCAAGTTAAAAACAAGGATTCCCACAAAGCCTCAAAGACTTTCATAACTTGAATCCCAAGAGAAAACTGAACAATCCATGTTTTTTAAAGTATCTTTGTAGTAGTCCATGAGCTGTGTGTCACAGCCACTCCTGCAGCTCCAACTGCTGACTGTGTTGATAAACTGCCAAATCAGCAATCAGCGTATAATAACCTTAACCTTAAACTTTGTTTTACGACACCTGCACACACCTGTCTCTTTTCACCTCATCCGGTATCTTTGCCTCTCCCTTGCTCCTTCAATTCTCACATGCCCCCCTGAGAAGGTGTACCTCACTGTCTGAAAACCTCTGGTATAGAGGGACTAATGTTTGAGTTAATTGTTAATTAATAAAGAAGTTCTAATTTCTGTCAAAAGGAAAGCGGAGATATAGCATATCTCTTAAAAGTTTCTCTCTTTCTGTCTTTGCAGATCTTACAGGTGAATCTAGTGATGTCCATCCTGCTGTATGTGATGGTCCTCGTGTACCTCTATGGTATCCAGGCAACCAACATGGACAGCAGTCGCCAGGGGCAACAGCAGCAGCAGCAGCAGCCAAGTCCCGACCCCTTAAACTCTCTTATCATCCAGCTACTTCAGGCCGACTTGACCAGGGGGAAGACCAGGGGGAACCAGAGCCAGCAGGGGAAAAGGGACACTGAGCCCCAGGACACGCTGCCTCCTCTACTCAGTGCAAACTTTCCTTTAGAGGAGCAAGGCGATGCGGAGCAGTGGGGGATGGGTGGTCGCAGCATAGGGAACAGTGACGGTGTGGTCGACCAGCAGGTGATGCTGTTGAACACGGACCTTCTCAGGCAGCATAAGCGGTACAACTCACCTCGGGTGCTTCTGAGCGACCGGCCGCCATTGCAACCGCCGCCGCTGTACCTCGCGGACGATTTCGTGAGCGGTGGACTAGACGGCGGCGCGGCGGGAAACAAGACACGAAAGAAGCGTTACGCTGAGCACAAGAGCTATCGCGGGGAATATTCTGTGTGCGACAGCGAGAGCCAGTGGGTGACGGATAAAACCCAAGCAGTGGACACCAAGGGGGACCCCGTCACTGTTCTGGCCAAAATTAAAACCAGTGCCACGCAGGACATCAAACAGTACTTTTATGAGACGCGCTGTCGGACCCCCAGGCCCTTCAAAGGTGGCTGCAGGGGCATTGATGACAAGAACTGGAACTCACAGTGCAAGACCACGCAGACATATGTTCGAGCACTGACGCAGGTTCGCAATGCAGTTGGCTGGAGGTGGATACGCATAGACACCTCCTGCGTCTGTGCACTGTCAAGGAAACGTCATAGGACGTAAACAAAACAACACAAGCCCTGCTGGGGACTACCTGTTTGGAATTCTACTTCCTGTATAGGATTTTATTTCCTGTTCACAGTGCTCACTACCACAGGATTATGTGTCATGGTGGTGAAGAGCAACATTCTGCTATAAAATGAAACTTCTACTGAAGAAATCTTTGGGTCCATTTAAATGATATTTCATGTGTGCTGCAAATCCACAAGCCGGTGCAGAACCGCTGTTACGGAAGAACTCATTTGAGAGGGGTTGGGGAGGGAGGGAGTGAGTGTGTGAGGGGGGGACTGTACATATAAATTATTTAAATTATATGAAATGCATGTAGTTTATACATGTTTATCTATCTATATATGACGTATGAATATATTTGTGTTATTTATTGAAAGAAGTCTTCTTCAAAAGGAAAAAAATGTCTATAAAAAAGGAATGAAACAAGCTATGAACTCATTGTGAGACTATAATATAGAGCTGGGCTGCAAAGGTGCTTCACAGTAAGACTTTACATGTGCCTTGACCAGTGTGGCTGCAGAGCAGAGACATAGGACATGGTAACTCAAGACAGCAGTTGCCGCAAATGTTTTGGAGGTGAGACTAAAAAGTGACGGAGATGCAGGGCCCTGTCCTGTCCAATATGGGGCCTAAATTCTTAGCATTACCCCTTAATGAGAGATATATCAGAAGCTATAAGGCCTCATATGACCAAAACACAGATTTGAGTTTTGTGACCAAACACATACATTTACACTGCGTTCACAATTGACCATACTGCTATGTTGTAACACACCATACGTCCATTCATTCCTCTGGAAGACAAAATAAAAGTTCCTTGTGTGGAATCTGCTGGCAGTGATTGACAGAGATAATCCAACTGGTTTTCCTCAGACCACCTTGACTCTGTTCACCACATTTTACTCTCAACTGTTATCATGAGCTGTTTTTGTTTCTTCCTATTAATAAAAACCTATATTTCTTAAAGCTGGAAACATTTCATTAACAAATACCCATTTCGAATTCTGAAAAAAATGAATATGGTGATAAAGATTAGGCTACATAATGTAGGTGATACCATAGTACATTTCCTAACAAGGCTATTATTATTATTATTATTAATATGAATTACTTAATAATATTATATATTATATACAATAATATATAATATTAATTGTATAGCAGCAGCCATTGCAGAAGTCCCTCACCTGTCTCTTGAGTGTAAAACTTCAATCTCTAAAACTTTGTTACTGGCTTTGTGAGCATTTGTTCCTGGTTTGATGGCCTCTGCATTATAAATTTACTCTGGAGAGTACATTTAAAGAGACCCAGATATAACTCCCTCAGCTGAAATTCAGACTAAACAAAGTGGAATTGTGAGGTTTCCACACAAAAGCAGCTAAATGAATTCAATCGTTAATGTTAAAGGATAAGTTATAAGTTGGAAATATTCTATATTTTTCTTATTGTCAATAAATCCCATGAAAAGAAAACTAATGAACTGATTCATGAGCAATAATTGTGTGTTCCAAAAAGCTATGAAAAACACATCAGTGAGCTGTACTCATTTTAATAAACATGGGGACTGTAGTTTATTTTGAGTCTTTCACCATCTGTAAGAATTCAACCAAATCTGTGGCATAGATGTTTGACCTTTAACTGAAGCACAATTCCATCGAAAATATTGTCTGGTGGTGAGAGTCCACAGTTCAGCCAGTGAGAGAAACAGTGACGGTTGATCAGAGGTCTGATCAATAGTCATTTATTCTGCTATCTGATCAGATGTTTTACACTTCAGTTATCTCGCCAGTTACAGCACAGAGAGAGAACAAAGATATCACATGGAACTAAACCTTTCTCCAATGGGGTCAGTGGTCAAAAGATGTGTGGAGTTCACAATGTAAAAAAAAAAAAATAGATGAAAAGTGTTTGCAGGTGTGTGTGTGTGTGTGTGTGTCTACAACAATGATGTTTTAGAGTCAAAAAGCTCAAACTCCCTGCTGCCTCACATCATTTCACTCACACTGCAGAAAGCATTGTTCTAACTAGATGGCAAAAATCAATTATCTGCAGGACTAATGCAGAACGGATGCAGGAAGTATCGAAAGGGACTTCTACAATGGCTCCCACTGTGTGCAGCGCTAATGCACGATGAACTCAAAGTCGGACTTCAGTGATGGTCATCACTGTGGAACTCTCATTATCTGATGTTAGTTACAGTATTTAGACTAAAAGGAAGGGAAAACCCAGAAAAGCAAATTAAAAGCCTTACCTAAGGGCCAAGAGCAAACTAGCCCAAATAAGTCATATGTTGTTTATCTGCAATACATAAAAAATAGGTCCCAATCAAGTCTGAACACCCTGCCTCAGAAAAGGAGATTTCAGAAACATCCTAAGCAGCCGAAAATAAAGTGTAAAAATAGGGCCATTAATATAACATTTTGCAAAGCTCAGAAACAAATCTGATTTCATGCCAACAACCTGCAGCCTTCATAGAAAGTCCTCATGTCTGTGATAAAATGGCTCAACCATCGGAGAGCAAAGCAGGAGCTCAACAAAGACAGAACAACATAAATGTAGAGCGACACATCAGACAGAACGACAAAAAAAAAAAAAGAGAAACTGAAAAATTAAATTAAGCAAATCCCCAAATGTGCAGTGAGACAGATCGAGACCAGAGGCAATGTGATTGACAAAGATATGACTCACTCATTATCAAATTCCTCAAAGGTTACAGCAGAGCATAGGTGTTACGTGACTAGACAGAAGACTGAGTCAGTGAGGTGATACTAATAGGATACTTTAGAGTGATAAATAGGATTGCGAGAATGACAACACTGCATGTCCTGGGTAACCGTGAAGTATGAGTCATGTTGAGTATCAGTCAAAGTTTCAAAAATGGATGTACAGTGTTTATGGAAGCAAACAATCCCTCAAAGGGTCATATGACTGCTCCTGGATTGAAGAGGATGAACTGCACACGTGTTTTTTGTCAAACCCTCTGTGTTGTGAGGATTGGCTTGGCATGCATTTGATCTTGGTCAGTGAATCTTTTAAAGGAAAAATCCACCTTTAAACACATTGATACCAGGTTAAAGAGAAAAACACAATTGGTAATGGGTGATTTACCTTTGTTTATGCACTCCAGGGTCCCCTGTGTTATTTCTTGCATTGTTCTTCTACTCATGGACTATTGGCCAGATATGTGATATCATATCCAGATGTTTGCAAGAGTTGTGAGAGTTTGGTAGCAGAAAATATTCCAGTGATCTAAAACGTTAAAGTCAAACAAACTGAACCAGAATGAAAGTAAGGGCTTTTTGCTGAAGGTGCCAGCATGTATCAATGTTTAGCAGTCACATTGGGAAAATGGTATTGTTCAAAACCAGAGATAATGATCATTTAAACTCAGACAGAAGCACAAAGTAGATCAGATGACAATGTAGCTGCATGACCAGTAATATGTAACTCTCTTGACCAGAAGAAACACAGATACATTTCTTTTGCAATTGTGTTGTACAGGTATGTTCTCTTGGGGTTGTTGAAAGGTACTCTGGGAAATGTAGTAATTCATTAATTGAAGTAGTAAGGTGCTGGTACAATCAAAACACTGAATTACAACCCCCACTGTCATAGTCATCCTCATCACCCTTTACTTACATTTTTCATAAATGTTTGCTGGTAGCTGGCACTGAGCTAGTATTGCTGCTGACCATTCTGTTGATCCAACAAAGCTTAATGCATTAACAGGCTGCTATCTGTACTCGAGCAATTTAGGTCATGCTACTGGGAAATAAATAGATGACGGAAAATAAATAATTCAGAAAATGTATTGACAGATTTTGAAAGTGGTAGCAGAAGTGACATAGAAGCTTCCAACAGAGTTGACAACACACTGTACATCTGAAGGTGGATTTTCCCTTTCAGTGCCTTATTTTAGGGCACATACTGTAAAGTTACTTTACCTTCCTGGCCCAGATTTTTCCATATGGAAAGGATCACAGGATTTGGTCACAAACTTTATTGTACCTACGCATCCACAACAGCATCTGGAATTCAGCAGGGTTGCATCTCTCAGCTGGACTGTAAATGTCTGTGCCATAACATACAGACACTGTACAGTCTATATAAAGCTCTTATGCAACTTTTATTGAGTTCTGTTAAGCGGATGGTCCAGGCCTTTGGTTACTATGACTGAACTTTGTGAACTCAGAGTAAAAGGACATATTTTCTGGAGCCTGACATGAACCAAACTCAAGCACTGGTTTCAGTCAATCTGAAGCACTGGTTTTCCATGTTTACCAATTAAAAACATGCTGGGAGCACTGAATGGGAGTGTGATGGTCTTCTTTTGGTTGCATAGGGTGCAGAGTGGTGAGCAGGCTGGGTTCGAATCCAACCTGTGGCCCTTTGCTGCACATCATCTCCTCTCTCTCTACCCACCTGTCGATCTTCAGCTGTCCTATCCAATAAAGCCATGAAAAGGCAAAAAAAATGTGTATGTTTCTACCATTCACTAGCTATTGTGGTGCATATGTTCCATACAGTTAAACTGCTGCAGTATTTAATCTGTACTGCACACAAGCTAATAGTAACTAGTGAAGCTGAAAAGGTAGCAAAACAACCTTTCATTCATCGTGTGTGTGCTCCAGTACTTCAACAAATAGTACCTCTGATTGTAGGTTACAGAAAGGGTCAGACACAGTGCTAATGAAGCTATTCGACCATCCAGCAAGCATTTCTGATTAAAGGGGAACTTGGCAACTCTAGCCATTTCTTCGCTGGTTTTCACTTTTGTCGTTGCATGTTTTCTCAACAAGCTCCTCCTACAGCTCTGGGACGTATATTTCAAAACACTGTCGTAAAAATAACTCACTTGCGGCACCCTCCTCCCACTTTCTACCGTTGCTGATGTGAATTTTTCGTGTGGAACAATGTCCACCGAGGTGGGCCTTTATTATGCATATCTATGGGTAATATAGCCGGCGTGACTAACTGGTATTGAGGGGGGCGTATGAGTTTATGTGGAATTGCCGTAAAGCATTTTTTGTTTCTCGCTCGTTCTCGCTTCTCACAATACTTCGTATTTTCAACTTAACGGGACAGTAGTCCCAAAGTTGCAAGGTTGGTTTTCCGCCTGGGGACGCTAGGGGGAGCAGGGAAAGTCACCATTTTCACCAGAACAGGCCATTTAACCATCCAAATGATTTCTAAGCGGGTTTATTAGGTTGAAATAGTTGCCAAGTTCCCCTTTAAGTGTACTGGCGCCTTATTTACCATAACCACAATGAAACCTCCATAGTGGTTGTGTGCAGAAACCGAGAATTGTACAAACATCAGCATTGGATGTAAAGACAAGTACCATAATCTTGAGTTTTGCAGAGTCAGGTGATGGGGTTAATTCCCATATCTTGAGCAATCTAGCATAAAGTGCTGAAACATGTCCGGTAACTACTTACTAAGTATTACTTTTTCCTCAATATCTAGATGACTTTCGGAGGTATGGATGCAAAGTGGAACAGGAGTAGTAGTTCCACTGATGAACTCAAAAGTAGATCTGTACTACAGTACAAGAATGTATCAAAAGGTACTGTACACAACTCATGGGGCCCCACATGTACAAGTAAAAAATGTACTCCAGAATAAAAATGTAATCCTGCCTCTTAATACAAAAAGTAATATGATCCAAAACATTACTAGTATCAGCTTGGATGGGTCTCTCTTCTACTTTGCAGCTTCGGTTAATGAGTTATGCTGACGAGACCGTTCCGTTCTTACAGAGGATTATTGCCTTTTGAAGTTTTTACTCTAGAATTTCTTTGTTGCCTACAGACTGTGATGGAAATGATAACAGGCACAAAGCTTGGCAGTGATGTTAGCCAAGTTGGGGCATCCTGCAAACTGCTGTAGCTCAAGTCATGAGGTTATCCACTGCTGATTATCTCTCACCACCATCGCTTTTCACAAAATGTGACAACATTAATTAGACCTCCCATGATAATCCGTCACCCCTCTCTGCCTCCCAGTAACCCTATAGTCCTCATACAAGAGATGGTTTCTCCCCATATTTACCTCCCACCTAGAGGTGTGATCAGACATGCACCCCTTTCAAAGCCTATTCATACAGCACCTACAGGTGTACAGTGTTTGATTTGTTATTAATTTGTGGAACATAAAGGAAGTGGTAGGAGGGAGCAGCACATTGTGCTGTCTCTAATGACCCAGGGGTTTTACAGAGGGGTAAAGCTGATTTAAGGAGATGTACATACATGCAGAGCTGGGATTTGAGGCAGTAATCTCTTATTCTAAGAGGAGCTTACCACTTGTCAGGCTGCAGAGGAGAGCAGATCAGCAACGCCTTCAATGTGCTGACTGAATGCATGGTCATATTTAAAATTCTTTAGGTACAGTTAATTGTAAAGGGCAAATTTCAGTGAATGAAAGAAACCTAATCCCTGGGTAGACTGGCTGCACTGAGAAGCAGTAAACGTCTCTTT